GTGTAAGCAGATGCCTGTTTTGTACACACTTTGGGATCTAATTCTGCTAGAAAAGCACATCCAGGACTAAGACAGGAAAGTCTAATTGCCATTGCCAGGTGTGAGTGAATTTCTTTTCCTTCCTGTAGCCAACAGTGAAGATCCCACAACAGCAGCAAGCTATTATAATGTAGCTCCAACTCCATCAGATGCATCGTTTAGACATCAGGCACTTGGAAAAACTATACTATGGCCTTTGTTATTAACATTCCTTAGAGACGGAATCTGCACATGATCATTCATCTGTTTATTAATTATGAATTCGAACGTGCCTATGGAGCAGAATTTACACCAGTGAACTTAAACCAGTCAGCAAGTGAATCCTCAAATCAAGACACATGGAAAGCAAGTGTGCCATTGACAACTCACTGCAGCTTAAGCCCACCGAAGCTGGGGAAACCAACCTGCAATCAAGCACAACTTGTCCTCAACTGAGTAGGTGCCACTGCAATATTATCTGGCAAGCAGGAAAACCCCATGACTGCCCAGGCTCCAACGCAGCAATACTCCAAGACACAGTGCGTTACCACGGATTGGACATCTGAATGGACAGAAACTGACCGACGCTACTTACCCCACTCTGAAAACATCAGCGAGCTTCAGGAAAGCCGAATTAATGAGAATCGGGAAAGGATATTTCTGGAAAAGCCTGGGAAATCGGACGACGGCTTCACACTGCTCCCCGAGTTTGCCAGACCGGAGGCCTAAACAAGACAATAATCACTGCAGGTACCGGGGCTCCTTCAAACCCAGATGCCTCCCGCCCGCGGTATAGCGGTACCAAAGCTCCCAGCCGCTGGGGACCGAGGGGCGGGACGGGGCCGCGGCGGCGGGCAGAGAGCGGGCGCCAAGGGCCCTCAGGACAGCCCCAGCGGGCGGGCGGCCCCAGGCCGGCGACAAGCCTTTATAGAAATTGTTTAACATGACATATAACTCATTTGGTTTTTCCATTATTAATCTAAATGCCAACTTAACCATTGTGCTTATGAAGTTGATCTACCAGTTTTGTTTAATTCATCTGATTTACCCAAGACAAATACATTAGGTGTCTGAAATATTGTATCTGGCCCTGGGCAAGGAAATCTGAAGAAGTGTTATATTTTATTTATTGGTAACATGGAAACAGCCATAATTCTGACAAATGAACATGGGACATTTGGTCAGTGTTTACCAGTAACAAAATCACACTGTCTGGAAGGTACTTAACAGATCTGCAAATAATTTAACTACCACATCAGAAACCTGTTCTTGAAAATACTACTGTAAACCTGTCTCCAACCACTACTGTCACCTTCAGTTTGTCCTCAGGATGCAATCTAGATTGTGAAATACACATCCAAAGGTGTATTCAGCCTAAAATGATAGGACCATAAGCTCGCTGATTCTTGGGATGTTTGAGATTTTGATCTTACCCACAATCTCATGACTTGACCTTATCTCTCATGTCATAGTGACTGATTAAGAGATGGCATATGGTCCAATTTTCTTCTGTGCTAAAAGCATATAGTGTGAGCAGAGTGTTCAGATCACTTATTACCAATAAAGTCAGTACCACCACTACAAAAGGTAGTATCAGTTGTGTCCTCCATTTAGGCATCATTTATCCATTATCCATCTACTGTTTGTGAAATTACTCATAGTTTTAATGGCTATTCCACTGATATGCAAGCAAAATGCTACAGGGAACTTCCCCCCTCCCCTTTTTCTTTTGCTTATGTAGACCATGCATGTGGACTATACAAGAGGCGCCTGGTATACTGCCCCAACTTCAGTCTTCTATGCATTACATTTACTTTTATCTATTATTTTTATCACCACAATAGCAAGAACTCCTGTTCATGGTCCAGGATATCACTGTGTTAAGTGCTACACATGGTCGAAACATTACCTGTCTACACAGCTGGACTGTGCTATGCAATTAACAGGTGTCACGACAAAGTAGTTCTTTAGGCAAGAGGGTTTTTTCTTATGTACTTTCTTATGCTAAGTTTTTTATCTTTTATGATTAACTGTGCAGAAAAAGTAACTGCAAGACTCACATGTGTCCAAGATATGAGGATCTGCGAAAAAGTCACAAAGCTACACAAAGGTGGAGTTAGGCCCAAACAACAAGAACAATTGTTTTGTCCATAGCCCCTACAAATGGATGGATGATGCAAGATGGAGAAGATAAGGAGTCTTGTACTTTTTAACGCCAAGATTAGCCTGCAAAATGTCAGCAAGAAAGGCTGAGACTTTACTCTGGACAAAGACGATAAGTTTTAGGAAAAGTGGAAGATCTTGCCATTGTCTGTATAGAAACAGAAATTGAAGAAAGCTTAGCCAGAGTAGGGAA